TTGCTAGTCAAACAAGATCTCTGGGTCTCTGAAGTTATCAAATATAGAAGGAGCATCTTCGGGTTCACCCGATTCTTCTGCGCGCTTTTTCTTCAATGCTTCCTCTTGTGCCTTGATTTTCTTCTTTTTCTCCTGCACTTTCTTCAGTCTGAAAATATAAGGTATCAGACAAAAGTTATTGTAATTACAAAGAAATGAATGCAGAATGCAGGTTAATGGGACTATTCTGAAAGCAAGCCACGAGCCTTCTGCGGCTATCCAGAGATGTAAATGTATTGCGCCTATTTACAGCAATGGTTACGATATTTGCACCTTTGGGATGACACATCTGAATTCTGTGAGCATTTATTGACTGGGTTAGCATTTAAAGAAACGGCTTGTTTTCTGAAAGTTACTTTATTGTCTTTTGTCCTATAAAGCTGACATTCACTTTATTTGCTCCCAGTTTATTTACATTCTCATCATAACAACAAATCAAACAAACCCAAAAGGGGGGGTGGGGGGGGGGGAGAGAAGAAGCACTAACTTATTGCTACCAGTGTCAAACATGGACCCTTACTTGAGCACAGAATCATAACAAAGACAAAACGTCTTAAAAAGGCTGCCAGGATAACAAGGGATAAAAATGAAAACAGAAGAAATCAGAACAAGACTAGGATAGAAACCAGTAATACAATTCAGCTGAGATGGTACACCCATCTGATGGAAATGCTGTGCTGCCACCGAGAGCCACACTGGAGAAATATAGCATAAGACCTCGCACAAGATAGAACAATGTCATCAAGAACAGACTTCAAGAAATGAAGATTAACTCTGACAATGTTTTGAAAAGAGCAAAGAAGAGAACATTATATTTATCCTAACACTTCAATGAAGAGACTTGCAGAAGAGAACAAGAAAATGAAGAAAGCAGGTGGAAGTGTATTAAAGAAGTTAAATTTAGTTAAATAGTCCAAACATAAGCAGCATGTCACAGGAAAAAGAATATCTGTTTCCGTCAAACAAGACAAGAAAAGAGTTACAACAAAAATACCATGAGGTAGCACAAACAGTTAAAAGAATGAAAATGCAATCTTAGCTTAAGATTACTTCTGCTTTGGTACTGCCATTTTAATTCCTTGCAACATTTACCAGTCAACATGACCAACACTGCTGTGGTTAGACGCCCACCCGCGCATCTGAAGGTTCGGACGGACCCAGACTTAAAAATGGAGTTGGATCCCAGGAAAATCATGGGAAGTAAAAGGTGCCCGGCAGGATTTTGACCAAATCCCCCATCGAATGCCAATAGTCTAGCCCTTATGTCCGATACGTCTAAAGTCGTTTAAAAGGGTCCTTTACTTTTACTACCAACACAGATTTTATTTGGCAGCTTCCCAAACAAGAACAGTTAACCTTTCACCGAAAGCTGCAAATATGAAAACCACACAACTTGAAAGTAAAAGACACTTTTCATGCTTGCAGGTGTATTGAGTACAAGGAGCTGGACCTATACTTTATAGAGCAATCAGTTCTACCCACATAGCACAGCAGATCACGTGGTTTGGCAATTCCATGTCCAATTATAACTATTTTAACAGACTGAAAAAGGTATCTGGATTTTACACATGAGAGCCTGGTTCTGTAACCGCTTGGCCAGCCGCTCCCCACTGCATGGCCATACGAAAAGTTGCTCTTTGAGTTACAGGATTTCAACACTTTAGATGTAACAAAGTTAAGGTGATAGTTATTTAGTGCCTTTAGGTCAGCTTAACAAATAATTTAGACTAAGCTTTAAAAGCAGATTACTCTGGGGTTTTCTTTGTGACGTGGATGAGTCTGCAAGGGTTATCTCTAACGCATTACCTAATTTATCGCATCAGTTGAACTCATATTATCAAATCAAATGGATTACAAATTTGGTTTACGCAGATTGTTGGTACCTTGCCTCTCAGGCTGATGCACTCTGACTTTAAAGGAAATATGGATCTAACCCTTTCCTTCCCAAAATGGAGATCTAGAAACTCGAACGGGAAGCACAATAAAGCAGACTATACATGAAAATCAACAACAAACAAATTAACACAACAAACAAAAATGTACATTTATTGTTTAATAAGTTGCTATGTTTCAATTCCTGCATGTACACTAGCATGTTTAATAATGAAACAATATACATCAGTCTTGATTACATATTAAAGTTCTATACACATGAAATACACAACCATATCTGATGATCAAATTGAAATTTAAAAAAAAAAAGGATAAGAAAAAAATTTAATTTACAAACTACCAGGCTCAAGTTTTGTAATCAGTGAAGTAAATTATAAACAGTTACGACAACAATGGAACATCACTTAACAATGAAACGTCACTTAACAATGAAACATCACTTAACAATGAAACATCACTTAACAATGAAACATCACTCTTCTCTGAGCCTGTCTTCCTGAGTTACTACTGATTATTTCTGTTAAAATTAAAACTATGTTTCATTATTGCTTTACTGAAATTAAATTTGTTATCCAGTGAAATGACCTCATTATTGTCCTTGCATCGGTTAAATGGAATTTTCTTTTTCTAAAAAATCACATAATCCTGAAAACAAGTAGGGCTAATATGTTAGTCTCTTAAATTTTAGGAATCAACTTCTTTACATTCTGGACATTTTTATGCTTTTGGCAACCCAATTACAAGCCAAACTAATCCTTTTTCTCGTATTTACATGATCTCTTTCCCTGCTGTATTAAATATTACCCAGACCCTCTGTTCACACGCTGCTGTATTAGTCTCACTGAGAACAGGAAAAGTAACTCTGAAAGGATTACTACCCAGTATTTGAGCGCCAGTACTGCCAAGAGATCTCACATCCATTTTTAACTCCAAATACATAAGAACTATACTAGCAGTTATAATGTTTAAATCGGGTCCTTATAACCAACCACATACACTACCCGGGGCCGCGTTAGCTCAATCGATAAGAGGCCGGCTTTCAAATCCAGCTGTGACTCGCTGCAGATAGGTCGGTGTTCGAAACCGAGTGGCTCCCGGGGTTCGCCCAGCCTCTAGGAAATGGGTACTAGAGTTAAAACTCTGGGGTAAATGGAGAAACATCGCTGTAGCTACAGAGTAATGTGTGAACGGCGACACAGGCGGACAATTCTTATCAGCTGTCTGTACTGGTGGCAGAGCACTTATGGTTTATAACCATGTGCAATGACACTGGTTCACATCTCCCGACTTTAATTTTTTTTTTTTACATACACTACTAGTATACCTTGCAACAACACTAGTCCTTAAAATCTAGAGGAAGAATACTGCAACAAATTCAGAAAACTTCCACATACTTAACAAACCAAAACCAATCAAAGGGATAAACATAATTTTTTCAGCATAAATAATAGGTGTGCAAATGTCTCACTGATTCCGCAACATGTCTCGTGGTTACATTATAAAGCTAGGACAGGCCGTAAATGATTGCAGCAGAATGTACACAAGCAATTTATTTTTGTCTTGTTCAATGACAGCCCAGTCAAAGTTATCACAGTAGCGGCTACCTCTCGGGCAACAGCAAACACTCCTACACTGCTCCACCCGTGTCCAGCAACTCAAGTGTTTCCCCTAATGGCAACAAAGCAAATTTTCACTATCCCCGATCCCCCAATTGTGGATAGATCCAGATCACAGCAAGCCTGCTGTCTACACTTTGCTAAAACCATTTAAGAACATGATGCTACAACGTATAGGCTTTCAAGCCTTTTTACAATGGTCCTCTGGGAGGTATAGGCGATCAAGTTTTCCACAATGATTCTCTAGGAGGTATAGGCGATCAAACCTTTCTACAATGATCCTCTAGGAGGTATAGGCGATCAAGCCTTTCTACAATGATCCTCTAGGAGGTATAGGCGATCAAGCCTTTCTACAATGATCCTCTAGGAGGTATAGGCGATCAAGTTTTCCACAATGATTCTCTAGGAGGTATAGGCGATCAAGCCTTTCCACAATGGTCCTCTAGGAGGTATAGGCGATCAAGCTTTTCCACAATGATTCTCTAGGAGGTATAGGCGATCAAGCTTTTCCACAATGATTCTCTGGGAGGTATAGGCGATCAAGCCTTTCCACAATGATCCTCTGGGAGGTATAGGCGATCAAACCTTTCTACAATGATCCTCTAGGAGGTATAGGCGATCAAGCCTTTCTACAATGATCCTCTAGGAGGTATAGGCGATCAAGCCTTTCCACAATGATCCTCTGGGAGGTATAGGCAATCAAGCCTTTCCACAATGATTCCCTAGGAGGTATAGGCGATCAAGTTTTCCACAATGATTCTCTAGGAGGTATAGGTGATCAAACCTTTCTACAATGGTCCTCTAGGAGGTATAGGCGATCAAACCTTTCTACAATGGTCCTCTAGGAGGTATAGGCGATCAAGCTTTTCCACAATGGTCCTCTAGGAGGTATAGGCGATCAAGCCTTTCTATAGTGGTCCTCTAGGAGGTATAGGCGATCAAACCTTTCTACAATGGTCCTCTTGAATCATAAACCAACTCATATGTCAACACATTTTATGGCTGCTAGCATCTCTCCAGACAACAGTGTTATACTGTACAGTAGGGAGGCAGGAGGAAGACAGTTCAAGGCGATGTATAATGACTAGCAAGACCTGCTCACGTTTAAACAGCCTTCCACTATTAGAAAAAAGACGCAGTTTCACAGACAAATAAATATACAAAATAAATCAGACAGGTCAAATTATAATTGAATATGAAAGGCATACACTCTATAAGACTGAAAATGTAGCGCTAACAGATAACACAGATGTCAAGAAGTAAGGGTATATAGAAGTGGAAATGAGTAGGCTTGAATAATTCCAAAATCCTACCGACAATGCCAGAGACAGGTCTTTAACTACACAAATACGGACTAACTTCTTCGTAGCAGTGATCACTCTGCTAATGAATAAATATGAAGAATACAGACTAAGACATCAGCTGTGATACGGCCTCATACAAAATGTCTTGCTAGTCAAACACGATATCTGGGTCTGGAAAGGTATCAAATATAGAAGGAGCATCTTCGGTTTCACCCGATTCTTCTGCGCGCTTTTTCTTCAATGCTTCGTCTTGTGCCTTGATTTTCTTCTTTTTCTCCTGCACTTTCTTCAGTCTGAAAATATAGGGTATCAGACAAAAGTTGTGATAATTACAAACAAATAAATGCAGAATGCAAGAAAATAAGACTATTCTGAAAGCAAGCCACGAGCATTCTGTGGCCATCCGAATATGTAAATGCATTGCACCCATTTACAGCAATAGTTACAATATTTGCACCTTTGGGATGACACATCTGACTTCTGTGAGCATTTGTTGACTGGGTTAGCCTTTATAAAAAAAATGCCAAAAATGGGCCCTTTCTTGAGCACAAAATCATAACATTAACAAAAAACTGCCAGGATAACAAGGGATACAAATTAAAACAGAAAAAATCAGAATAAGACTAGGATAGAAACCAGTAATACAATTCAGCTGAGATGGTACAGCCATCTGATGGAAATGCTGTGCTGCCAACGAGAGCCACACTGGAGAAATATAGCATAAGACCTTGCACAAGATAGAACAATGTCATCAAGAACAGACTTCACGAAATGAAGATTAACTCTGAAAATGTTTTGAAAACAGCAAAGAAGAGAACATTATATTTGTCCTAACACTTCAATGAAGAGACTTCCAGAAGAGAACAAGAAAATTAAGAAAGCAGGTGGAAGTGTATTAAAGAAGTTAAATTTAGTTAAATAGTCCAAACATAAGCAGCGTGTCACAGGAAAAAGAATATCCTGTTTCTGTCAACGAGACAAGTAAAGAGTTACAACAAAAATACCATGAGGTAGCACAAACAATTAAAAGAATGAAAATGCAATCTTAGCTTAACATTACTTCTGCTTTGGTACTGCCATTTTAATTCCTTGCAATATTTACCAGTCAACATGACCAACACTGCTGTGGTTTGACGCTCGCCCGAGGATCTGAAGGTCCGGACGGAACCAGACTTTTAAAAAAATGGAGTTGGATCCCAGGAAAATCATGGGAAGTAAAAGGTGCCCGGCAGGATGTTGACCAAATCCCCCATCGAATGCCAATTGTCTAGCCCTATATGTCCGATACGTCTAAAGTCGTTTAAAAGGGTCCTTTACTTTTACTACCAACACAGATTTTATTTGGCAGCTCCCCAAACACGAAGAGTTAACCTTTCACCGAAAGCTGCAAATATGAAAACCACACAACTTGAAAGTAAAAGACACTTTTCATGCTTGCAGATGGACTGAGTACAAGGAGCTGGACCTATACTTTATTCAGTCAGAAAGAACTTGAGCTACATCTAAGCAAGATGTACTCTGATAAGAAGAGGAGAGAGCCTCTTGATGACAATCCAGAGATCCTTAGCGGACTCAAACAGCCTTCGGTGCCGAAGGTACCATTTAAACTGGTACCTCCCCTTTGGTCTGAGGTTGAGGACGTTGTGAAAAAAGCCAGCGGCAAGTCTGCCCCAGGTCCGAACGGTGTCCCGTACGTTCTTTACAAGCGTTGCCCGAAAATCCTAAAAATGCTTCACGTCTTGTTGAGACAAGCGTGGATCCGCAATCACATATGTCCAGAGTGGTCAAAGGCAAATGGGGTCTACATTCCCAAAGAGCAGGACTCGAAGAGTCTTTCCCAATTCAGACCCATCTCGCTGTTGAATGTTGAGGGTAAGATATTCTTCTCAGTCATGGCTCGCCGGCTCACACAGTATCTGATGACTAACAAGTACATAGATACGAGTGTTCAGAAGGGTGGTATTCCAGGCGTTCCTGGGTGCCTTGAACACGCGACCATGATCTGGGAGGCTATCCAGAGAGCCAAGCATGAGAGAACCAATTTGCACGTTATATGGTTGGACTTAGCCAACGCCTACGGGGCAGTCCCCCATAGGCTACTGTGGCGAGCCCTTCGCATGTTTCACGTACCGACACAGATCAGTCAAATGGTCGAGCAATATTTCTCCAAGTTCGCTTTGCGCTTCTCTACCTCGACGTTTACCACGAGGTGGACTGAGTTGCAGATTGGGATAGCTATGGGGTGTACGATCTCACCCATACTGTTTGTCATGGCAATGCAGATCTTATTAGACGGGGCGGCCGGCTACGGACTGGGCCTTCAAATAGGGGATCACTGGTTACCGCCACTGCGCGCATTTATGGATGACACGACTATTATAACGGGCAGCGAGGAGTCTGCCCGCACGATCCTGAAAAGATTGGACGCGGTGGTCCAATGGAGCGGTATGCAGTTCAAACCGCAGAAGTCGAGGAGTCTGTCAATCCATAAGGGCAAAGTGTCGGCGATCAGTTTTACGGTGGCAAGGAACAAGATCCCTACGGTTCTGGAGGAACCGGTGAAGAGTCTCGGTCGCGTTTACGATTCGAAGTTATCTGACAGAGCGGAAGTCCGGCGAATACATGAGTCACTGGCTACAGGCCTGCTCGCGATCGAGCGATGCAGGCTGATCGGAAAATTCAAGGTATGGTGTCTCCAATTCATGTTGATTCCGAAGCTTCTATGGCCACTGCTAGTCTACGAGGTGACGATGACTGCAGTTGAAGCCATGGAAAAGAAAATCAACACAGCCTTAAGAAAGTGGATTGGTGCACCGCCTTGTCTGACCGACGTGGCTCTGTATTGTAAACAGGCTAAGCTGGTACTTCCGTTCAAGTCAATAACCGAAGAGTTTAAAGTCGGCAAAGTTAGGCTCGCCATGCTTTTGCGCGAGTCCTCAGACCCAAATGTCATCGCTGTCCAGCCCGCTCTAAAGACTGGTCAGAAGTGGAGAGTCCTCGATGCGATTGAATCTGCTCAGAACGCACTAAAATTGAAGGAGGTGATGGGTTACACACAAACCGACCGTCGAGGCCTAGGGCACGGGAAAGTCAATTGGTGGTCAAAGGCCTCAGCCAAAGAGCGCCGAGACATGGTGATACAAACGGTGAGGGACAACGAAAACGAGGTTCGGGTCCAGAAAGCAGCCCAACAGTCGCAGCAGGGCCATTGGGTCAGCCTGGAGAGCGCATTGCCTAGAATACTCACATGGGGTGAGATCTGGCGGATGACCCCGCTGCGACTGAGCTTTATCGTTCGTTCGGCGTACGATGTATTACCGTCCGGTGTCAACATGGTTAAATGGTCTGCGACCAACGATCCGACTTGCCCGTTGTGCAAATCAAAACAAACTCTTGAGCACGTCCTGTCCGCGTGCAGGAAAGCCCTAGGTCAAGGCCGATATACCTGGCGCCACAACAAGGTGCTAAAGGAGTTAGCAGCCGTTGTCGACCAGGCTAGAATGAGGGCTAACGCCAGAGCCAGTTCTAGTATCGCCCCCATTCGTTTCCTCAAGGCTGGGCAGGTTCCAATCGGTAAGGTCAACAAAAACGCATTCGCTCCATCTGTACTAGACTCTGCGAGGGACTGGTTACTGGCGGTTGATCTGCCAGGACATGAACGGTATCCCGAGTTGATCCGTAAAACCGGCCTGCGACCGGACATCGTTCTCCATTCAGCGCAAAAAAACGGCAACTCATCCTGATTGAGTTGACGGTCCCGTTTGAGTCGCGTATGGAGGAGAATCACTTGTACAAGCTCGAAAAGTACAGTGATTTAGCAGCCGGTTTGAGGAGAAACGAGGCTTACACAGTGCGGGTATTTGCCGTCGAAGTGGGAGCGAGAGGCCTCGTTTCCACTTCGCTCTACAATGTGGTGAAAGAATTAGGATTGCGCGGTAATGAACGGAAACGGGCACTCAAAAAACTTGGTGAGGTGGCCGAAAGGGCATCCAGCTGGCTTTGGACGCAGCGCAACAACGTAGGGGACGGGCCTCGGTGAGCTGGTCCGGGTGTCTAGTGGAAAAGAGTTTCTCATCCCTTCGAAAGTCCATCGTGTACGAATTGTCTGCCAGTGTTCCTCTGCCAACTGCTAATAAAAGTCCAACATGTGTCGTGTCCGGTAAACCAAAGTAAGCTTGTCGCTCGGTCGTCCAGGCATGCGGACTGTTCTAATTACGCAGCCGTGGCGGCTTCTTATCTCACAGTACCTCCTTCGAAACCACCAAGTCGTCTTGTCTCTGGCCGAAAGTATAACACCATCCGGTAATTCTGTGCGGCGGGGAAGCAGCCCTGAGCTTCATGAACTCAGGTGGGCCCACCTCCGAATACGTTTAGGAATCGTGGGCCGAAACGTGTGTCGAAAGAGGATAATTTCTACTGATGACTGTAGATCCCCGCTGTACTTGCTCCCTGTGAGTTTATTCTTATTGTACGTGGCTAGCCCACAAGACTACCAGGAAAGACTGGTGACTATCGGGAAAGTCCTTTTGACACCTATGGAAAGACTGGCCCCCCGGTATCGCCGGGGGGATAAACTGACATCTGGAGACAGATGTCGACTGTGGACCGGGTTGATCACCCCTAACACAGTATAATACCTCCGATTGCGTTAAACCACAATGAAATATGCCCCCAGGGCCCTCCGAAAGGGGGGGAGAATGAAGGGCCCAATCTGATTGATACCCTCGTTGATGACTTTGCTAGCCCCCGGACTGAGACACTCGCCCAACGTCCGGGCTGGCTCTGTACATGTGGGAAAAGCTTCACGGGGTTGCATGGTCTGAGAACGCATGCCGGAAGAATGAAATGCGAGGGTGCTCCACGCAGTAAACGCCGTCGCAAAACTACTACTCCTGTGGTAGTTTCTGAGTCGTTAGGGAACGACGGGCAGGGGGAACCCCACTCGCCCGGAGAGGCCCATGACGTCGACTGCGGAGGAGCACCTTTGATGATTTCTGAAGAAGTGCGCTCCAGAATCAGGTTTCCACCTGCGAGCGAGAAGGTGGTGTGGTGTAAGTTGGAGGCTACATTATGTGAGGTACTTAAACAAACTCTAAACAAGAAGTCGCTAGGCGACAAGCTTACTAAATTTGGTGATGTAATATATGAACACTGCTCCCGCGAGTTCGGGACAGTAGTTAAGGCACAGCCGGGTGCCAAGCAGAATACTAGCAGGAGGCAGAGGGACATTCTGAAGTGTCGGGCAGACAAGAATGCCCTCAGAAAACAGTTCAAAGCCGCTACGGGCAGCGAACGGGAGGGGCTGTACGAAGTGTGGGTGCATTTAAAGAACAAACACAGTGCCCTCTGTCGCGCCGAGCGTTTCTGTAACAACAGACGAAGAACTAAAAGGGAGCGAGAGAAATTCTTTAGGGACCCGTATCAGTTTGCCCGAGGTCTATTCGAGCAACCGAAGTCTGGGACTCTGGTTGTCAGTCAGAAAGAACTTGAGCTACATCTAAGCAAGATGTACTCTGATAAGAAGAGGAGAGAGCCTCTTGATGACAATCCAGAGATCCTTAGCGGACTCAAACAGCCTTCGGTGCCGAAGGTACCATTTAAACTGGTACCTCCCCTTTGGTCTGAGGTTGAGGACGTTGTGAAAAAAGCCAGCGGCAAGTCTGCCCCAGGTCCGAACGGTGTCCCGTACGTTCTTTACAAGCGTTGCCCGAAAATCCTAAAAATGCTTCACGTCTTGTTGAGACAAGCGTGGATCCGCAATCACATATGTCCAGAGTGGTCAAAGGCAAATGGGGTCTACATTCCCAAAGAGCAGGACTCGAAGAGTCTTTCCCAATTCAGACCCATCTCGCTGTTGAATGTTGAGGGTAAGATATTCTTCTCAGTCATGGCTCGCCGGCTCACACAGTATCTGATGACTAACAAGTACATAGATACGAGTGTTCAGAAGGGTGGTATTCCAGGCGTTCCTGGGTGCCTTGAACACGCGACCATGATCTGGGAGGCTATCCAGAGAGCCAAGCATGAGAGAACCAATTTGCACGTTATATGGTTGGACTTAGCCAACGCCTACGGGGCAGTCCCCCATAGGCTACTGTGGCGAGCCCTTCGCATGTTTCACGTACCGACACAGATCAGTCAAATGGTCGAGCAATATTTCTCCAAGTTCGCTTTGCGCTTCTCTACCTCGACGTTTACCACGAGGTGGACTGAGTTGCAGATTGGGATAGCTATGGGGTGTACGATCTCACCCATACTGTTTGTCATGGCAATGCAGATCTTATTAGACGGGGCGGCCGGCTACGGACTGGGCCTTCAAATAGGGGATCACTGGTTACCGCCACTGCGCGCATTTATGGATGACACGACTATTATAACGGGCAGCGAGGAGTCTGCCCGCACGATCCTGAAAAGATTGGACGCGGTGGTCCAATGGAGCGGTATGCAGTTCAAACCGCAGAAGTCGAGGAGTCTGTCAATCCATAAGGGCAAAGTGTCGGCGATCAGTTTTACGGTGGCAAGGAACAACTATGGCCACTGCTAG